CACTCGTAACACTTCTAGCCTGACCTATTGCAACAGCCTCCTAATTAGTATCTCTTGAGTCTCTCCTCTTTTCTAATCTGTTTATCACACAGCTGCTAAAGTGAGATATATATACACACAAATATATAAACACACACACACATATATCAGGGTTAAATGAATTGCCCAGGGTCACACAGCTAGTAAGTATCTGAGGCCAGATTTGAACTCAGGTCCTTCTGACTCCAGGGTTGGTACTCTATCCACTGAACCATCTCGCTGCCCCCAAAGTGATTTTTTTTTAGGCAGTTGTGGTTAAGTGACTTGCCTAGGGTCACACAGCTAGTAAGTGTCAAGTGTTTGGTCTGAGGTTGGATTTGAACTCAAGTCCTCCTGACTTCAGGGCCAGTGCTCTATCCATTGTACCACCTAGCTGCCTCTAAAGTGATATTTTTAAAGCACAAGTCTCCATGTCACTCCCTTACTCAGGAAGCTCTGGTAGCTCTCTATGGTCCCTAAAAGCAGACACAAACTCCTTTGTCTGATTTTTGAAGCCTTTCACAGCCTGGCTCCAACCTCCCTTTATAGGCTTATTATAACTCTACAATACAAAGTAGACTTCTTGTTGTTTTTTCACATATGACATTCCAGCTATCTCTGGTCTCTGTGTGTTTACATGGAAAGCAGTCTCTCCTTATCTCCATTTCTTATAATCCCTAACATATTTCAAAATTCATATCAAACTCCACTTCTTATCTGAGGTCTTTCTTGAATATCTCAAAGAGCTAGAATCTCTCTTCTAGAGGAAGCCAGGTGGCACCTGCCTTATAGATTTTAAAATATTTCATAGTATATATTTTATAATTATTATAATATGTTGTATATCATAATATATTATAGAGTTTATTACCTATTTATATTTTATACTATTGCCTTATATTTACTTTGTATAGTTAACAAAAAAATCAAATCTGCACCCAAGGGACTCAGGTACTTCATCCTTTCCTTCTTCTTTCAGAGAGTGGGTGGGAAAACAATAACAACAACAATACATTTATTAAGCGCCTATTCTGTGCCAGGCACTGTATTAAGTGCTTTACAAATATTATCTCATTTGATCTTTACAACAACCCTGGGAGGTAGGAGCTATTGTTATTCCCATTTTATAATTGAAGAAACTGAGGCAGACTGAGGTTAAATAACTTGCCCAGAGTCACACAGCTAGTAAGTGTCTGAGGTCCAGCTTGAGCTCTAGGTCCAGCGCTCTAACCGCTGTGGCATCTAGCTTCTTCTAAGTATTTTGATAAAGGTTCCTCATAGCTCTGGTCCTATACAGACAGATCAGGTTTAGTTCTGGGGGAACCTGATCACCTAAAAGAAAGGTCAGAGTCCTTTTTCTCACATTCTTTGGTCTTCTTACATTCCCACCATGGTGTCCCAGAGAAAATTACTTAAAGCTCAGTTTTAGCTCATGTCCAAGGTTCCTCCCTTTCCCCTCCCACCCAAAGTGAGGAGTAGGAAGGTACTTAATTGTCACTATGAACCAGGTATGGTCAGCTATTTATTTCCTCTACACAGAAGAAATGCCTAAAAAAAACAAGATCCACAAGGGTGTACTGATAGACTTAAAACAGGACTTAGTAGCATAACTGACATTATACTCTTCTGGGAGATTGAAAACAAACAACAGAAGACAAATTAATTTGTGGAACTGCCGAATAGACATTTTACATTTCACCTTGGCTCTGCACGCAAACAATTCCCTTCAAGCCAGTGTTTTCTGGAAAGCCGGGCCAGGAGTTGTGTTTCTTCACTTGTGAGAGGTATCTTCTCTGTTGCAACAGTTCTCCCTGTTGGCAGGTATCACTGATGAGAAAACCCAGGATTTCCAACCTCTCAAACTCATAAGATTGCCTTCAAGACTGGACATTTCCATTTTGAGATCCCCATTCAGTCACCTTTACTCAGGAAAGAAAATGCAAAGTAAAAAAGGAGAGGTGGAGGCTCCAAGGTCCGGTAGTGTGGGAGTTGTCATCATGTGTCTGGGTTGAAGGACAGCCTCTCCCCCAAATCACCCCCAGAGAGATTTGAATAGCACTGATAGGCTCTGCGGCTAGGAGGAGAAGAGAATGGTGTTCAGTGAGCAATTTCATTTTAAATATCCACTGAGTCATGTAGTCTTCCTAGTCAGTGGCCAATAAAGGGCCACTTTACTTCATTTTGTCAAAGTGTAAGACCTTTACCACTAAGCTGCACATGTTCCTGTAGTTCCTAGAAGTTTCCAAGGGACCTCTGGCACTTCCTTCCTGGGTTTGACCCATTTGTGGTTGTTCAGTCATTTCTGCTGTGTCCAACTCTTTGTGACCTTACTTGGGAGTTTTTTGGCGAAGATGATAGAGTGATTTGCCATTTCCCTCTCCAGCTCATTTTACAGCTGAGGAAACTGAGGTAAACAGGGTTAAGTGACTTGCCAGGGTCACACAGCTAGTAAATGCCTAAGGCCAGATTTGAACTCGTGAAGAGGAGTCTTCCTGATTGTAAGCCTAGTGGTCTATCCACTTTACCACCTAACCCTTACCTGATTAAAATCTGACTCATGAAATAAGAGAAGACTGCTGGATGTTCCTCAGACAGAAATCAAAGGGGAGCCAAAGTGGTTTAGTTATTTGTGAGTTCCCTGAGCTAATTGTTGAAGGAAGATTCCCCTGTCTGCAAGTCTTCTCGGCTGTCTTGATAAGCTGGAAATCTTTCTCCTCAATTAGCCTATTTGTGCTGCCTTTAAATGTAGTTTAATCTGTAACATGACTTAGTTTACCTGTGGAGTTTGTTTTGATGAACTTTGTTTCCTTGAGGGACATATGAGATTTTGACTCTGTTTAACTGTTTTTTCTACTTTTCAGATGTTGGAAGGAAATATGCTCTTATGGATTTACCTTCTCTTTAACTTTTAGGGTATGAGAGGAATGTACAAGATAACAATATGTAAAAGAATTACTCCTCTGTCACTCTGATGTAATAAGAAGCCTGGTTAGAATTCTGAAGATTGTTCAGGTTTTGTCTGAGGCCTGAACCTTGAGCATAATAAAGCCTAGCTTTTAACCTTTATAATTTCTGCATTATGATAGATGTATTTTGGCAGCAGTTAACTCTCACATAGGGGCAGCTAGGTGGCAAGATGGATAGAGTGCCGGGCCTGAAGTCAGGCAGAATTTATCTTCCTGAGTTCAACTCTGGCCTCCAGACACTAACTTGCTGTGTGACCTTGGGCAAGTCACTTAACCCTCTTTGTCTTTGTCTCCCCATCTATAAAATGAAGGAAATGGCAAACCACGCCAGTGTCTTTGAAAATCCCAAATAGGGTCACAAAGATTTGGAAATGACTGAACAACAAAAACAACCAAAACCTATCACATGAACTTGGAGAGGAGATATTTCTCCCATAACATTATACTGCCTAACTCTAATCACTGCAAAGCTTACTTCAAAGTGGCAGATGTGGTGGTAATTGATAACTCAGCTAAGTGAGAAGCTACAATTTGTATGAAATGGGGGCAGTAATGACAATATCTGGCATTTCTATATGGCTTTAAAATCTGAAAAATGTCTTACATATATTATCTTATATAAAATTTACAACAACCTTATGAAGTAGGTACTGCCAATATTGTCAACCTCATTTTTAAAGCTGAACATTTTTGAAGGCTTTGACTGAAGCTAAGGAATTTGATTGCTTTATTTTTATATTATGTATTTGTCTATTACATAATTATATAGTATATTAACTATAATATGACTATATCATATGTAATATATACATGCATTTTATATAATATGTGCATAATATATTTATAGTATTATAAGTGATTTGCTTTCAAGGTCATAAAGCAAATCAGTCAGTGCCAGATAGGATAGCCAGGTCTTCCTGACTTTAGGAGCAGTCTAATGGACCAGGATACATTACATCAACCTACCATCATGTCATGTAGTTTGCTGTTTTCCCTACATAGCCACCAACACTATGAAATACATAGTGAATAGAGTGATAGATTTGGGAATATCTGGCTTCAAATCCCCTTTCTGACACCTTCCAGCTGTGTAAGCATGGTCAAGTCATTTAACTTCTCTAAACTTGTTTCCTTATCTATAAAATAGGAAAAATTACGGAGGTACCTACCCTTATAAGGTTGTCATGAGTATGTAAAAGACACACACTCTAGTATGCTATATAAATGTGATTTATTATTCTAATTATTATTATTATGGAAGACCAAAAACCCCTACATACCTTCATTATCTTTGTCTTCAGTGCCACCAAGCACTTGGCACTGAAAGCTTCCTGCTACTGAAGATCCAGACCCCACAGGGTGAAAGACAAATGATGTGAACATTTTCCTCCTTTCCCTGTTCTGATTACAAGCTGTTTGAGGGCAAGAGCTATTCTTACTGATTGGCCCAGTAGAAGTATAGTAGCAAATGTTTTCTTACTTTCCCCTGGGATCTTTAGTATGGTTTTTCTTGGAAATGGAACTGTATCTGAATGTTAAACTTGAATGTCTGAAATATAAAGCTGCAATTGACAAACAAAAACTTTTAAAAATAATAATTTTAATATCACAAAACTTTCTAGTAATAGCAATGCCACCCTTAAATCCACCATATTAAAAAAAAGTTTCTCTCTCCTTTTAGGGTAAAATCTCATTTTAAAATATCTGCAAAACCTTCCTCTAAAATGTGTTTGTAACATCTCCTTAGACAATTCTTTTCTTCTTCCTTTGAATGCTCTCCAGTGTTGGAAGCCAAGTTAAATCAATTCATTCAACAACCATTTACACACTACCTGCTGTGTGCATACCGTTTTTTTTTTTTTGTAAAGGGAGCTAGGAGAGATGAGAACAACGCAAGACGATCTCATGGAGTCTAAGAAAGGGGATGAGACACGAACAGAAGTTTATAGGATGAGTGTATTAAGGAACTGTCTAATACACTGATTTTGTTGTGGTGGTCGTTTTCCTCTCTTAAAGAAACGATCCAGTTGGATGCAGGTCGTATTGACTTCTCCAGACCTGCCTATGATCTCAGGGCTCCCGGCGAGGTTTAAAGACCCAAGGAGAACTACATCTCCCAGCAGGCTCCGTCACGCCGTGGGTCTACGTACGCACAGTGGAGGGGGCGGGGGTGGCTGGAGAGGAGGATCTCCGGATTCCCCGGCATAGAAAACGAAAGGTCGGTAGGGGAAGCCGGTAAGTGACCGCTCTGTCCTGTGATGGCTGCACTGGAGGTTGGGCCTCATTCCCTCTGGATGACCCAAGGGGAGAAGGAAGGGGAGGAGAAGAGATGTGTTTTTTTTTTTTTCCCCGAGCTCCATCTGGACTGGGCAGAATTAGGGTTAACAGAACGCAGGCGTGGAATTTAGAACGTGCTTTTTTTTTTTTTTAAATAAACTAAGCCCACGAGGCTGAGCGTCCTCAGCAGGGAAGTTCTGCAGGTCCCCTTGGCCGGCAGCTTGGTGGCAGGAAGCTCAGCAGCAGGAGAGGTGGAGGGCTTCAGTCCCAGCTGGTCGCTGGGGATTCCAAAAGCTGGCCCCGAGGGCAAGCCCGGAGCTTGTCATTTATCCCCCAGCCGGCCGGCTGGGCTGCACCGAAGTGATTGATCGGGCAGTTCCCAGAGAGTCTTCTAGAGGTGACTCCCAGGATTCAGTGCACTCAAGCCCGGTATTGCAGCGCACACTTTCAGCTTAGCCCTATTCCCGTTGTTTTACAGAAGAGGAAACTGAGGCCCGTGGGGGCAAAGTGACCGGCTTAGCCATGCAGGCTGCGGGAGAACATTCTGTAGCCGTTTCATTAGGCTGGATAACTGGAGTGTGAATTCTTTGGTCTTGATGACATATGGTGGACATGACTGTCCATCATCCAGGATGGACAGGTGTGGATGGGGCTGTTGTCTGCAAAGATAGAAGAAGTTGCCCGCGTGAATGAGATCCCAGATCCTTGGAAATGTAGGGTGGAACAAAATAAAATTAAAAGCAACAGCCTCTGAAGGGCTGACATAAACAGAGAAAGAACTGCCTGGGAGGGGTAAAGGGGTACACCTGATTAGGAGGCAGGAGAACTGAATTGAGTTACAATTCAGTCTTCTTTTTGTGTGTGTGTAACATTTACACACTTACTAACTAGCAGTTACCGTAACAATTTTATTTTCCTTTTTTTATTCCCCCACTAAACAAACATATATTTTCTCTCCCTCTCCACATTGGCTCTGATTAGCTGTATGACCTTGCTCAAATCACTTAAATGCTCCAGGTCTATTTCTTGACCTGTAAAAATAGGGAGGTTGACTAGATGAATTGTAAAGTTCTTCCATACTTATTTGATTCTAGTGACTTATCTAGATCCTTAACATCTTCTAGCGGTGAAATCTATGCCTCAAGAATTAGTCACCCAACAGATATTTATTGAAGCAGGCTCTGTGGCCAGCCTGGGAGGAATACAGAACATGGCAAGGACCAATGGAGAAAGAAAACTAACACACGGAAGTCAATTAAGGGCTCAACTGTATCTGTATGACTCTGACTGCTCCAGAGGGAAGGGCAGTATGGACTGAAGTAGACTGGATGGTACTTGAACATACTTTTTGTCTGTTTCCATAGTAAGCTTCTTGAGGGCATTAACTTTTTTTTAATTGGTTAATCCACTGCCATATCCATAGAAGATGTTTAACAAATGTTTCTTTTAATGTAAGGATTTTAAGTAGGCTGTTTGTAATGAAGTCTTCACTAGAAATTTGATTTTAGATTATGATTGGATATAAAAAGGTGATGAACGCCATTTCTCCAGTTGATAGCCTTCCACTGGCACCTATTACAGTGCTATGGGATGACACCTTCGACACGTTTCTTAGTCACAAGACTTTCATTCATGTTCCACTCGGCCATTTGCAAGATATGTGACCTGTCACTTAACTGATGTGAGCCTCAGTTTCCTGACCTATAAGACAGGCATGATGTCTGTTTTGCCTGCCTCAGATAGCAGACACAGTCTATCACCAGGTCTGTATTTGAAGCCTTGATACATCTGCCAAGAGTTTGTGCTTTCTTTTTTTTTTTTATTAATTTATTTTAATTTATCAACAATCATTTCCATAAGCTTTTGAGTTTTTATTTTTTCTCCCTCTCCCTCCCCATCTCCCTCCCCAAGACGACGCACAATCTGATATAGGCTATATATATACATTCCTATTAAACATATTTTCACATTAGTGATATTGTAAGGAAAGAATTAGAACCAACAGGAGGAACCACAAGAAAGAGAAAACAAAACAAAACAGAAGAAAAGAAATAGCAAATAGTATACTTTGATCTGCATTCAAACTCCATAGTTCTTTCTTTAGATGTGTATAGCATTTTCTATCATGAGACCTTTGGAGATGTCTTAGATCCTTTCATTGCTGAAAAGGGCTAAGTCTATCAATGTTAGTCATCGCACAACGTGGCTATGTACAACATTCTGGTTCTGTTCACTTCACTCAGCATCAGTCTGTACAAGTCTTTCCAGATTTTTCTGAAGTCTGCCTGCTCACCATTTCTTATATGTGCTTTCTTTATGTATTGGTTTTTAAGAACCTAGGATCAGGACCAGCCTGGGACTTCACCTCTGCTCTCCTGAATTTTAGCCTTAGGCTGACCAAAGAAGGGCTTGCATTTTATCTTCCACTGAATTATAAAGTGCCATATAAATATGAGATGCTATTATTTTGCCATTGTTCTCATTCTAGATATGGGGCTCACCTTCCAGATCCTCTAAAGAACAAAAGAGCACTTGGCTGTTTTTCCTACTTTCAGAAATCCATTTATCTCCAAGTCAACTGAAAAGTAATTTTATCGACAGGCAAAACATGTGGTTGAGAAACTAGATCTCTAAGGTTTTTTTCAGCTCTGACATTTCTATGATTCTGTAGCTTCTGTACTCAATCAGTCCTTCACATAGTCAAACACTGAGTGCTGTCCTATTCCAACCCTGCTTCCTTGGTTGGGCCTCTCAGTTTGCGTAATGTTCATTAGCCATCTTTGGATTTTAATGACTTGCCTGGAGTTCTCCTTTTTCCTTGGAAACAACCAAAGGATTATTTCTCAATCTGGCCTCGGTATTGTTCTGCTTCTCTTTACTATCTTCCCAACGGTCTAGGCCTTTGGTCTAGATCTATGGCACTGGCCTCTTTGGTTTTCTTAAAAGTTCTTTCCCTTTTCATTGAGAAGAGGACATGATGGTTCCAGTTCCTCATTCTTAGAAAGTGGTACCAAGGGACTGAAGAAATGAGGTCATGTGGGATCATGTCTCTTGTTTTCCGGAGCCACTCCAGCCACGGATCAGTGATTGAAAAGCTTCTTTCTATAATGACTTACTAGTTACAAGTGGTCAGTGCTCCATTTAGCTCTACCCCAGGGATGGGTGTCACTTTTGTTCATTATCTACTCGTTTATTGAATTACTGAGACTCTTGTTCTCCATTTCATGGCCTATTGGGGTTTCTTTTGTGATATGAGACCACTGATGCACTTCTTATCATTGATTTAGCAGTAGTACAGTTACATACTCCACTTGCCTTGATTGGCTATTTGCCAGTGAATGCCAGGGATCCCTCTTGTACTGATCTTATCTAGAGGCAACTAGGTGTTAGGGTGGATGGAGGTCTGGGCCTAGAATCAGGAAGAGTAGAGTATGAATCTAGCCTCAGACACTGGACAAATCACCTAATTTGTGTCTGCTTCAGTTTCTTCATCTGTAAAATGGGGATAATGATAGCATCTACCTCCTAGGGTTATTGTAAGCATCAAATGAGATGATTTTTTTTCAAATGCTTTGCAAACCTTAAAGCACTATATAAATGCTAGCCTTTTAATGTTGCTATCATCATCATCATCGTCATCATTCCTTCGTACCACTGCTGGACAAATTGTCCTCATACATAGATGTGCTCATGCTCCTGCTCAAAAATTTCGATAACTTTTGCTTAACTACCAAGTAAGGTTTAAATTCTTGTGTCTATCATTCAGGACTCTCCATAATCTGACATCACCCTATCTTTCCAGTCTTTCTTGCCTTCTTTTATTCAACATTCAAGCCAAACTAGACCAGTGTTTCCCCAAATATAACCTGAGCTTTCCCACCTCCATACCTTTACTCACGCAGTTCCCTTTTACAGGAAGGATCCTCCCTTTCCTCATTGAATTCACACTGAATTCTTTTAAAACCCATTTCAACTGCCACCTCCTCTAAGAGTCTTTTTTGGGGGGCAATTGGGGTTAAGTGACTTGCCCAGGGTCACACAGCTCGTAAGTGTCAAGTGTTTGGTCTGAGGCCGGATTTGAACTCAAGACCTCCTGACATCAGGGCCGTTGCTCTATCCACTGTGCCAACCTAGCTGCCCCCTTTAAGAGTCTTGTTTTGATTGTCTCAGGCCGCACATGGCGCTTTGGTTTGTTCTTCTCTAATGCCCATCCCACGTCATTTTGAGTTATAGTTATCTGTGTATCATATCCTCTAACTAGACTATAGATACTCTCCATGACAATAGGTACTATTTCTTATTTAAAGTTGGTATCTCCCCCAGCATCTAATAGGTCCTTAATAAATGTTTGCTGAATTGAATTGAATTCAGCTTAATAGAATCAAATTTCTAAGATTCAAACAATTCCTTGCCTTTTTCTAAAATCCATTTAATTGCATTTCCCAAGGGAGTGAAATCTCAAAAATCAATCTGTTGATTGACAAGTATTTTTTGAGCATTTTACACAGGCAGGTATTATGCTGGGTTCTATGAGTGATTGAAGGAGTACAATCAATCAATCAGTATTTTTTCAGTGTTTGTAGTGTGTGCCAGGTCCTATGCCAAGTACTGGGCCATGTATATGTATAAACTGTGGTCTTTGCTCTGAAGGAGAGCTTTGCTCAAGTAGCTTCTTGGTGGGAGGACAGTGAGGCCATGTGAATCACCCCAAAACTGCCATTCCTTCTGTCTGAGATTAGGATTCAGGGTATTTAGCACCTCAGACCCCAAGTGAGGTAAGAGCAAATGAGAAGTCAGGTAAAAGTCAAAGGAGCAGGAAAACAAACCAGAACAGTGATTCATTAGCTAAGGGTTTAATAATATAAGGTGTTTTCATCCTTACACATATTTCATAGCTGACAAGATCTTTTAAGCTACCTGGATGAAGTGCCATAACAGCTCATTTGTATCTTAAAGAC